TGGGGTAGCAGCTGTCTGACACATAATTGCTAAGATGCTATGCCCAGAGTGTGAGATTTGTGCATTGGGGTCTGTAGGCTGGAGGGTTCCTGGAGCAAGATTCCTGCCCGCTGCAGTTGTCCAGAGTGTCCTTTCAGCGTCCCCACGCTTCTGAGCAGCCTTCGCGTCTGGCTCTTACAGAGTGACAAGTGGCAACTTCCAGCCAAGTGATGCTCACACTCGCTGAGGCGGGGTGGTCCCCTGTTACCCACACCCGGAAGTCAGGTGGCGTCTCAGCCCTAATGCCAAAGGCATCTGCTGGGTGGAGCTGGGGTGCCCCCACCGCATCTCCACTGTTTGTCCAAGGCTGGGGCAGAAGGCCCCGGGGGCTGTGAGGACAGAGCTCAGACCAAAGAAGTGAGTCTAAATGGGTCCTCCCCTTTGGAAGGAAGGGGTATCTGCTGTGCCTCCCCCTTCAGGGACCTTTTAACACTCTCAGGAGCAGTGAGCAATGCTCCTCTGGTTCATTCATTCATTCATTTATTGACTCATCCGCCCTTTAGTTATTCACTCAACAGACATTTACTGAGACAAAGAAACTCTTCTTCAGTAGTCGCCCTCCCAGGCTGTGGGCAGAGCCCAGGGAGCCCACGGAGGGGAAGCTGCTTCCCGGAGGGCTGAGCCAGAAATTCAAAAGGGAGGGAGAAGGGGTGCCCTGGGGTGCCTGCCAGGCGGGAGGGTGCGGGACTTGAAGCAGAGGGCCCTGCTGACCCCCACCATTCCTGGTTCCATTGGAGTCATCGGAAGTGCAAGGAAGCTCCTGGCATGTCCGGGGTAGCAGGAGAAGATTAGAGGAAACCAGTAAACCAAGGGCAGCCTTAGCTTCGGTAGAAATAATATGCAGAGGCCAGAGCCAGAACCAGCCTTCCACACCCTGGAAGTTGCCAGATGGCTGCAAGGGTGCTGCGCCTGCCTGTCTTTGAGGAGGAACTGAGTGGGAGTGGCTCAGCTTTCAGCTGTGGGTGGATGGGTGGATGGGTGGGTGGGTAGGTGGGTGGGTGGATGGATGGATGGGACAGCCGATGGACGAACAGATGACTGAAGGCTCAGCACATAGAAATAATCAGCTACTGCAGAAACTAGTTTGGCTCAGTGGATAAAACCTGCAGACTGAAAGGTCCCAGGTTCGATTCCCGTTGGAGGCATGTGCCTCGGTTATGGGCACATCCCCAGTGGGGGGTGTGCAGGAGGCAGCTGATCAATGTTTCTCTCTCATCAATGTTTCTAACTCTCTATCCCTCTCCCTTTCCCTCTGCAAAAAATCAATTTTATATATATATATATATATATATATATATATATATATATATATATATATATATATTTTTAATTTTTTTTTTAAGAAATAATCAGGTACATTAATTAGCATTCTCCTCAGAACGGTGTGTTTGAAGAGACTTAGGGGATGGACTCAGGTGGCATTTCTCTTCAGGCAAAAGACTTGCCCAGAATTTTCTCATTGGTTGCAGGCAAACCCGGCAGTGCTTCCCTCACAGGTGCACACTCACTCTCTCTGAGTCCAACTCTAAGGTCCAACCTGGGAAAAAGGGTTCCAAGGACACAGGATGGATTCCGGCTGAGGACATCAAATGCTGAGCCCCAGTGTCCTGGGTCTGAATCCCCTGGATGGATAGGGAAATGTGGGACAATGAGGCAATAACTAAATAAGTAATTACCAGGCATGGCTCAGTGGGTGAACATCAATCTACAAACAGGAAGGTCCAGGATTGATTCCTGGTTGGGGCACATGGCTTGGTTGCAGCTCACTCCCCAGTATGGGGCATGCGGGAGTCAGGCAATCGGTGTTCTCTCTCATCATTGATGTTTCTCTCTCTCCCTCTCCCCTCCTCTCTGAAATCAATCTATATATTTTAAAGGTGCATGTGGGTGGGTGGTCAGAGGCAGCACCCAAAGAAAGCAGGAGGCAATGTTTTGTGTTGAGTGCACACAGCGCAAAGGTTCCTGGGAATATTCCCTAAGTGCAATTATACCCGTCTTGGGGTCATTCCTCCTCTGATCCCACCCTATATGTCTTGCTTCATATAGTCTTCCCCTGGGTCTAGGCCTGAAATTGGGGGTGGGGAGAGTGGAGGGGTTGCTGCCCCAGCTGGGTGTTTGCAGGCTGCTTCTGGGCACAGGAATGGAAGTAGCCTGCTCGCTTGGAACTCCTTGGCAAAAATGTGCCTCTCAGCCCCCAGATCGCATGGTGCTTTCATTCATTTATTCATTCAACGCTCCTAAAATGAGTACCTACTGTGTGGCAAGCCCTGCACTGCTCTGAGAGAACTCCCTGTTGCCATCAGCTTCGAAGAGCCAGCCAGCGCGCTCTGAATTTTGTTGTTTGATTCACGAAGAGGGAGAGGGAGAGGAAATCAAAGAGGTTGGGAACTGGTGCCTTTGCTGGGCAGTGGAAAGACCAAGGGTCTGAGCCCTGGTTTTAATATTTTTCTAAAAATATTTGTGGGGATGCCCGGCCAGGCAGAGACTGCCCTGGGGGAACCTACAACTAGTGAGATGGAGATGAGCACCCACCATGGCAACCAGAAGACCATGAAGCCCAGAGCGCAGATGCTGCCAGTTGAAACACTAAAGCAAACTGGGACTGATGGGAAGGCTTCCTGGAGGAAGTGACTCTAGGTGGAACCTAAATCATTGGTGAGACAAAAGTGCAGCAGGCCCAGGCTGGTGTGGCTCAGTTGGTTGAGCACTGCCTCATGCACCAAAGGGTCACGGGTTGGATTCCTGGTCAGGGCACACCTAGGTTGCAAGTTGGATTCCAGGTCAGGATGGGTGCGAAAGGCAACCAATCTGTTTCTCTCTCTCTCTCTCTCTCTCTCTCTCTCTCTCTCTCTCTCTCTTTCTTTCTCTAGTCAATAAAAATATTTTTTTTTTAAAGTGCAGAGTAGGATTAGGGGATCCAGAACTTGGCAGGATCGAAGAACTGGAAGAAACTGGCTGGACAGGAGCCAGGTGGTGATGGCAGACTCAGCTCACCCACTTTTTGCTATCTGAGTATGGAAAGTGAATTGGTGTCTTTGAGTATCAGCATACCCTTCTGCAAAATGGCCTGGACAAGGCAAGCATCTCCAGATTGCTGGGAGTGTCAGGAGGAAGGCCTGTGTCTGGCTTCAACACAATAAATGCTCAATAAATGCAAGATCCTATGGGCCTTAGGTCTGTGAGCCAGAAGGGTGGATGGATGGGCAGCAGGAGAGGGGTTCAGGATGGGCACCCCTGGCCACTGTTTGAGGAATATCTTTATTAACGTTCACTTCAAGGTAAGCCGCGATGGGAACCAGATGTGGGATCACATGGTCACACTGAGGCAGGGCAAGGAGCAGAGATAGCACTGGAGTCACACTGGGGTAAGGATTAGTCGGGATGACATTGAGGGTAGAAGCAACCCCCAACCCCATCCGGAGATTTTGTTGTTGAGAGATCAGAAGATTGCTTTCTGGCCTGTGTTCCTGGTTTCCGGGCACTCGGGCCCTCATTTTCCTTTGCCTCTTCAACTCTGACCCCGCTCCCAGCCTCCCTGGAGGAGTTCTGTGCAGAACTGTGCAAATGAGCGCCAGCACTCCAGCTAGGTACTTCCTCAACCCCGGGATTTTCCCTGCACTTTATGGAGAGCTTCTCTAACGGATCTCCTTCAGCGGAGTCCTTCCGCAGCGGGGAGACCTGTTTCCTCTGTTCTTTGCATTTCCTCCGTCCCAAAGGTCCTCCCAAGTTGGTGACGGGCTAGCTTCAGCCGGGGCTCCAAGGCTCCCTGCCAGCTGTGTAACCTGGTGATCGCACCTCTCTGAGCCTCCATTTGCTCGTCGGAAAATCGGGGGCCCCAATCTCTGTTAAGTGTGGAAGAGGCTCAGGGCGCCGCAAACATTCTTTGCCCGGCTGTGGCGGGTCCCAGGCCCCCGAGGAGGCATGCGTTGGTCAAGGAAACCACAACCCATCAAACCAGAGATCACAGGCCGCCTCACCCCCACCCGGGCAGTGAGCAGGTGACAGGGCTGCCATGGGGCCCAAACTCCAAGCTCCCCACCCAGCCGCCGGCCAGAGAGTCCAGGGGCTGGGCGAGGAGGGCAGAGAAGGGAAGAGGCCGCTCTCTGAAGCTTCTGAAAGTCGGCCCAGAGGAGGGCTTCTCAGGGGTCGAATGAACACAAGTCCCTCCGCGCCCCTAGCCCGAGCCCCCACCGAGGAAGGGAACAGCCAGACGCGAAAGGGGCCGCGCACGGGACTCCGGCGCGTGTGTGCGCATTTCCAGGAGGGACTGACAGCGGGGAAGAGAGACTGGAAACAGCGGTAAAGGCACCCGCGGGGAAGCCGGCAGCTGTGCCGCCAACACAGTCGCGCAGAAAGTGTGCAAAGGAACGCCTGCCCCCGAGGCTAACGGCCCATCTGAGTCCGAAAGGCAAAACCTGCTCGGTGCTTTTTATTATTATTATTATTATTGTTGTTGTTGTTGTTGTTGTTGTTGTTTTTTAATATGTCATTACAGTTTTGCATGCCTCCTTCCCCTAGGCCAAAGCTGGGACCAGATCATTTCAGCCCAGCCTCCGGAGCCTTCGGCTCCTCGGGTGGATTCCTTAGGATTCTACCACAAGGGAGAGGCAAGAAAGGGCGGGCAGTGGAGAGAGTAGGAAGAAGGGGTGGTGGGGGAAGGGGTTAGGAAGGGGGGAAGAAGGGAGAAGAAAGGTTTTGGATGAGGAAATTCACTCTCTCTATTTCTCCCCCCCACCACCCCTTCAAAAAACCTTAAGAGGGTTTTGGGAGATCAGGTCGACTTTCCGAAACATCTGAATCTTTTTACTGCACTCGATTCTTTTCCTGGGCCAGCTGCGGAGGGGAGGAGGGAGAGGCGAGAGGGAGAGAGGGAGGGAGGAGAGAGAGAAAAAGAGGGAGAGGGAGAGAGGGAGAGAGGAAAGAAGGGAGAGAGAGAGAGAGAGAGAGAGAGAGAGAGACCGAGACCAGGAGGGAGGAGGGAGAGGAGGAGCAGGCCCGCCCGGCTTCTCCAAACTCGCGGCCAGGGCGCGCGGTGGCTTCCTCCCCGCGCTCCCGCTTGCGCCCCCGCCCGCCGCCCGCCGCCCGGCCGGCATGAACGCGGAGACCTGCGTCTCTTACAGCGAGTCGCCAGCCGCGGCCATGGACGCCTACTACGGCCCGGTGCCGCAGAGCCGGGAGGGCTCCTCGCCCTTCAGGGCGTACCCCGGCGGCGAAAAGTTCGGCGCCACTTTCCTGCCCGCCGCCGCCGCCAAAGGGCAGGGGTTCGGGGACGCCAAGAGCCGGGCACGCTACAGCGCGGGGCAGCCGGACCTGGGGGCGCCCCTGGAGAGCGGCGCCGGGGCGCGGGGCTCCTTCGCCAAGTTCCAGCCGCAGCCCCCCGCGCCGCCGCCGCCGCAGCAGCCCCAGCCGCAGCCGCAGCCGCCGGCGCAGCCGCAGCACCTCTACTTGCAGCGGGGCGCCTGCAAGACGCCCCCGGACGGCAGCCTCAAGCTCCCAGAGGGCAGCGGCGGCCACAACGCGGCCCTGCAGGTCCCCTGCTACGGTGAGTGCACGTGCGGGGCCCTCGAGGCCGGGGACCCCGGGGCTCCTGGCTTCGGCGCCCGGGAAACCTCTCCGGCTGGTGGGAGGCAGCGGTTGCTGGGCTGAGGAGGTGCGGGCCGAGCAGCGGGCGATCCCCGGTAGAGAAATGGGGATCCGATCCGCTGCCCACAAGGAACCGTCTTGCACCTTCATCTCTACCGTCGCCAAGGCCAAGGAGCGTTGGAGCTGTTAAATCCCACTTGGAGTTTGTTTCACCCACTCTTTGCTGTTTCCCCAACCACTTGCTCTGCTCTGCCTCCAGGCCGGCTCCGCCGCGGCCGCTCCGCACCGGCTCCAGGCGTGCGGGCAGCGGGAACGGCTGCGGCTCAGCCCGGGGCGCAGGGGTCCCGGCGGCCAGGGCCTCCTCCCCGCTGGTCTGGAGGCTCCTCTGGCGGCGCCTCCCGTGGGAGCGTCGCAGGTGCGGAGCGCAGTCCTCGGAGCGCCCGTCCGGGATGCCATGGAACGAGGGTGCCACACGGATTCGGGTCCAGAGTCGCCTGGGGCCGCGCAAGACCCGAGTCCAGTGGCCACTCGAGCGCGGCTGGTGGACCGGCCAGGGAGGTGGACCTGCCAGGGTTCCGGAGCGTTTCTCTCCTGGCCAGCCCTAAACCATGGAAAGATGGTTTAGGGGTGACCGCAGGGAGGCAGAGAGCCGAAGATCTGGAGGGTGATCAGTGCTGGGGGAAGAGGGACGTTTCTTGGTACTGATGGGCCCTCAGAGAACCGAGCCCTGAATGACCTCCAGGCCCTTGGAATGCAGGCCTGGGCCCCAGAGCTCAGTGGCCATAGTGGAGAAGAGGGCCTCTCTCTAGGGCGGCCTGAGCCAGAGCAGTGAGGAACCTAAGCCCTATTTTCCACAGACTGGGAATTGGTGAGCCCCGAGCTGGGAGCGAGGGAAAAGGAGAAGCAAGGGGAAATTTTCTCTGGACTAGATACAGTCTCCCCCTGAGGCCTGCAGGCAGGGCCCTAAAGATGGGCCGGTGCTGACAGGGCAGTGGCTTTGGCTGAGCTGATCCAGGCCAGATGGAGAGGCACCAGGCCTGGGACAGACGTGGGACATGGTGGCGGCCTTGGCAGTGGAATAGCCTTAGGAAAGCAGCCCATGGCCAGCACTTTCTTGGGCTCAAACGCGATCTCTCTCGGGCTCAGCTTTAGTTCATTTGGTGGTTGTTGACATGCACAAAAATTCCCACAATCATACCCCTGTCTACACTTGCATTCTACACACACACACACACACACACACACAACCTCTTCTTCATGAGCCAACGTGGTCACACATCGGATGCGCACACTCATGTGGCCTTGCACATAGTCACACACTCCCAAACCCACAGGGCAGGACTGAGAGCAGATTTGGAAGGATCCGGTGGCCTTTCCCCACTTCCTCTGCCTTCCTGTTGGAACGAGATCAGGCCTTCAGATCACAGCGGCTCTCAGCTCACACAGGTGCTCCATCCACGTTCTGCAGCCAGCGGCTCTCTGCCTCCTGGCCTCACCCAGGGCCCTCCTCATCCATGACAGTTGGGACTATTAAGTGAGAGCAAGTCACAAACTGGGGGCCCCATGGAGGTGCATTGCACAACCCCAGGAGACTCCCGTGCTTTCTCCTCCACTGGACCCGGTTTTCGTGGTTTAAAGAAATTCGCCGGGGAGGCTGCTGAAGAGGCTTCCACTTTAGGCAAAGAGAGATCCCACATGGCTTCCACGTTCTTCTTTAGAAGATGCCTTCAGGTCCAGGGGAAAAGGGATAAGGGCTGGCCCCCTCTGACACCCACTCTGAGCCCTACAGGGCCTTCACATGCCAGCCTGGCCCTTCCTCTACTGGGGCTGCCCACACTGTGGCCTGAGAGTGAGTAACTCCCCACACCCCAGTCCTCATCTGCATCGTGGGGAGATAATAGGAAGGCCTTATTGGGTGGTAAATGTCCCCCACGAAGAGCGGAGTCTAGTCCACCCTCTTCCACATTCCCATCATGGGGGGCAGGGGGAGGCTCTGTGCAGTTGGGAACCTCTAAGCACCCAATTCTGAGGAGAGGACAGGCGCCTGCCCCGCTGTGGGCAAAGCCTTAAGCTGAAGGTTGGGAGGAAAGGCAGCTAGAATCGCAGGGCAGACAGGCTGCTCCCTGGCTGCCCGAGGTGGAGGCACTATTCAGGGCAAAGCCACAAACAACCAGCAGCTCTTCCCTCTTTTCCTCCTCTCAGCACCGTGCTTCCCTGCCGGGAGGAGCTCTCTGGTCCTCCTACAGAAGCGATGGGCACATTAGGTACAAGATCAGGAACCGCGGGCACCAAGAGGTGAGGCAGCGGGGACAAGAGCCTCTGGGGACACATCGGGGGTAGATTCTCTAGATTGCCAGCAAGGAGGGAAACTGAGGCAAGTACTTACAGCTGTTCTCTCCCTCACTTGTCAGACCCTAGGTTCAAAAGAGGAGAAATGAGGTTCAAGGAACAAGCCTCGGGAGCTTGGGGAAAGTGGGGCAGACAGGGCCCCGCGCTGTTGCTCAGGTAGCTTTCACCTCGCACCCTCCTTCCCAGCTCTGTTGCTCCCGGGTCGGAAGCCAGTGACTGCACGGAGCTCAAGGCCAGGTTCCTCCGGGACCTCAGTCCCTGGGAGCCACTCCCAGAGATCAATGGGTCCCCGCCTGTGAGGCACCGGGTCTGGGGGTAGGGGCCAACGCTGGGTCTCCGACAGACAGACAGCTTTGGCGGGATTTTCTGAGTCGCCAATAGTGGAGGTGAGAAACCCTCGCCCTCTCTACCGCTAACCCAGCCTCGGTTTTCCCGTCAGTACTAAAAAGGCGACCGGCTCCAGGAGCCGGCAGTCCCCTGCAGCGTGTTCACCAAGAACCAACAAGGATCTGGCCGGCTGCAGTTCCGACGACCTCCAGGGCTCCTGAGCCGCCAGGGCGCCAGCTCCTGGGTCTCCTAGCTCTGGGGCAGCACTTTGACCTTCCGAAGTCCCTTCCTATCCTTGGCCTGTTTTTGAGCTCGCGGGCCCCAGGAGACTCGCCAGCTTGGAGACTGAACATTTCTCAGCGGCTCAAACAGCCCCCTCGCCGCCGCCGCCGCCGCCGCTGCCGCCGGGGTGGAGGCTCAGGAACCTGGCCCTCAAACCCAGGACCAAACCCCGGAGCCGCTCCAGGCGCTCCAGGCCCTGCCATGCACCCCGAACTCTTCTGGGAGCAGCCCCGCTGCCTCTGTCTTTCGCTTTCGATTCGGTGCACGCAGGTTTTCGTTGAGCGCGGATTGCTACCCCGAAGCCACCGGCCTGGGCAGCGCTCCCCGCGCTGAGGTCCCGCCCGCTATCCCGCTATCCCACTATGCCGAGGCCGCTGGGCGCCCCTGAGGCCGGTCCTGATTAGTGGAATGAGAGGCACTGTTGAATACTCGGGACATTTATTTCCCCACGCGGACACAATCACTGCAAAATGGTCAACTCTGCCCCAGTCGGGTGGTGTTTGAAATTAGTCAAAGAACCAGCGCGGGGTTTGGAAGGGACCCGAAAGGCACGGGGAAGCCTAGATGTGGCAGAAGCAGTGAGCTCCTTGGTTGGTGGGGTGGGGTGGTCCGGGATGCTGGAGCCTGGGAGTTGTGGCATCTCCGATCCCCCTTCCTCCGGCCCCACAATTTTGGAGGAGAGGGAGCGAAGGAAGATGCTTTTAATTTTTTTGTTCTATAATTTCGATAGCCGCCAGCCTGCTCCAACAATCCCGCTTAAAACACCAATCTTCGTAAACAGAACAGAAGAACTAGCTTTATTTTTAAAGAAGTAATATTCTTTTAAATCGATCGATTTGAAGAACGTTTTCTTTCTTACAAATAGTTTACACGCAGCGCAGTCCCCACGGTTAAGTGGGACTTTGGAAGAACTGCGCGTGTGTGTTTGTGTGTGTGTGTGTGTGTGTGTGTGTGTGTGTGTACAGTGGTGTGAGGACCACCTGGGTCCTGCTACTCCGTTGTGTGTTGTGTGTGTATATGTGCGCGGAAACTTTGCGGGGAAATTTTTGGTAAGTTGTTCTAAGAAAATTACAGACCAGACCTCGGCGGAGCTGGGGACCACGCCTGTGCCAGTCGGTGGCATTTCCTTCGGGAGGATGACTTGGGAGGATGACTTTGTATGCCCTGCATTTGCGGGGTTCCCCATGCCACTGCTATGGCGGGAACCTCCCGCCTCCGCCGCAGCCACACCGCTGCTGCGCTCCGCGGAGATGCCCAAACCCGGAGCAACGCGCACTGCAGCCACCGGAGCGGTGGTAGGAAACCAAGTTAAAATACCCAAATACCCACATGCAATCCAGCCCGAGCCCCCAGGACTTTCCTTTTGGACAGAGGCAGGGCGCACTTTTCCTGGGAACCTACCTCTCCTTACCTTGGCCTCAACCCGGTTCTCTCCTCCCTCCCGCAGCTCTGCGCCCGAGGGCTTGCTTTGGTGGCACACGGGAACATTGAAATTCGTTCGCAATGGAAATACTGGGATCTTCGCAGTCACGGGGGTGAGGGGAGGTTGGACTCTCGTGTAATAGGCTTCACCGCTGCCGACCCCTGGACCAGGGGCTGGAAGCAGCGAGCGGGGAAAGAAGGGGGAAAAGGGGAAGCTGTCGGGAGCGCCCGCAGCCCCGCGGGCATGAAGGGGGGGACTCTGAGCGGTGCGCCTGTCTCTGCGAGCAGGGGGAGATGGGGAGATGGGGGAGAAGCTTGGCCGGAGGTGTTTTCTCCACTCGGAGCTTAGGCGTCCTCCGCTCCCACGACCCCCAGGGACCTTGGCACAGGCCCTGTTTGGGGACAGTGAGATCCCAGTCTGGATCTGAGCTCGCCGGCCAGGCGCCACCTGCCCAGGAACTTCCAGCAACTTCCCACAACAGCTATGGGGCGCCCGGGACTCGCTAAGGTGACAGGGAGCCATCAGACTCCGAAACCAAGACAGTGAGGCCCCGGCTACATGCGGAGTGGCTTCGCCCA